CCAGCCAAGCATAATACATTTCCTCCACATAGTTTGAACTAGTCCCACTCAGAAATGGTTCGGCAGCCACTGGTGCACTGTAGCACCTGAGCTGTTGGAACGTCCTGGGTGCTGCCAGTCTGTGTTGGGAAATTGTCTTTACAGTCTGTGAGGCCGTCAACGGCCTCAGTTTTGCTGCACAAGTCCTTAAGTTAAGCATTTTTGTCCTGTTGCCTCACACAAGTTCCTGTTGAGGGAGAACAGAAAAGTGTGTTACAAATTATTGCAGGAGGGCACCGAACAGAGACCATCCCCTCCCCGGAGCACGGAGAACCAAGCTTAGGATTAGTTTTTAATTTGGATTAATCCACCCACCCTGTCCCACAGCCAGGTGGCTTGGGAATGCAGTTTTCACTCAGTACACTTGGCATGGCCAGGTCTGCCTCTCCCATCCCTGGCAGCCTGGCATCATCATCTCCCCTGTCATGACAGTGCAAAGCAAATTTGCTTGGGGTGTACCCAACACCAGTCTCAAATGAGCCACTGCACACCAAAGCCACCCACATCTCTTGATTTCAGCTTCTTCCATCACTCTCCCTCCCAGGTCTGGGCTTCCATTTCTCTGACCACTCTGCTTGGCTGAGGTTTTCTTCTTGGTTTGTTGTGATGTGCACCAGGATAAAGCTGGGAAGAAACCATCTACACGGAAAATCCCTTGCAAAGTAGGGGTACAGCAGTGCAAAGCACTTGAGAAGTGGGCTCCAAGAAAGACTGCTTCTCCTCAAAAGCCCAGACCCAAGAATATCAGTACAGATGAAAGACCCAGAGAAGGGCTCTGCCCTGCTCAGAGAACCCAGAAAAGTAACTTGGAGCTGGTGTGGGACCTCGGAGAGGTTCTACCTTGCAGCTTTGAGTAGGGCACGTACTGGGAGGCCTAGGGTTAGCCAGGGGGTTTGCCACAGGTCAGCCATGGGGTTTTACACACATCCAACCGATCACCACAGCCCAAGGAAAGCACTGGAGATCATCCTGAAGGAAATGCAGGCATTTGGAGCAATTCTTCTTGGAGCTGCCCTTTCCACCCGGCTCCTCCCGCAAGACACAGGACCCAAGGCTAGAGGTGACCCAGCTGGCTGGTTTCCATATCCCAGACCAGTTTAACAAGCAGCAGCCCAATGTCAAAGCAGTTACCATGTGTTCACCACATTAAAATGAAATTTCACAAGGGAAACGAAAAAACAACACACCTTCATGGCCAGCATTTTGCTAGCCAGCCTTCCAGGTCTGTCTTGCTGAATCTAGTTCAGATACCGATCTCTTCCCTGTAGGGACCAATAACAGGACCCAAGGGCTGCGTCACGGGAGGCTTAGGTCAGATATCAGAAAAAGGGTCTTCACCCAGAGGGTGTTTGGGCACTGGAACAGACTCCCCAGGGAAGTGGTCAAAGCACAAAGCCTGAGAGTTCAAGGAGCATTTGGACAATACTCTCAGGCCCAGGGTGTGACTCTTGGGGATGGTCCTATGCAGGGCCAGGAGTTGGATCTGATGATCCTTGTGGGTCCCTTCCGACTGAGCATATTCTGTGATTTTGTAGTTCTGGCTGCCTGGCATGACAGAGGCTACACTTCCCATTGCAAACTATAAGATTTTGGTTCAAAGAGCATGAGGAAGACCCAGAGGCATCTGAATTCAGACAAAGTGTTTGACAGATTTACCCGTAGGAAAAAGGGAACTACTTCTCATTTCCACGCTGCCCACAATCACACATGGCAAGAAAGGCCAGCAGGTGCAGGACCACAAGTGCCACAGCACTGGGGATTCTCCCAATTCACCCTCATCAGATCTACAGCAAAACACATAATGTTATTTTTCTGGAAGGCTGAGAAAGTCAGGGATGTTCAGCCTAGAGGAAAGAAGGCTCCAGGGTGACCTTAGAGACTCTTCCAGCTCCTAAAGGGGCTCTAAGAGAGCTGAGAAGGGACTTTAGACAAGGGCCTGGAATGACACGACACGGGGGATTGGCTTCCCACTTCCAGAGGGCAGGGTTAGATGGGATATTGGGAGGAAATTCTTCCCTGTGAGGCTGGTGAGGCCCTGGCACGGGTTTCCCAAAGAAACTATGGCTGCACCTGATTCCCTGAAGTGTCCAAGGCCTGGGTGGCTGGGGTTTGTAGCAACCTGGGCTAGTATAAGGTGCCCCTGCCTATGGTAGGGGGGTGGAAATGGATGATCTTTAGAATCCCTTCCCACTCAAAGCATTCCATGATTCTGTGATATTTTAGAGAGCCAACTGAATCAGGTGCCAGAGCACAGCCATGCATATGTAATGGAAAAAGCTTTAGGACAGAAGCAGCATCATCATCTCCAGTTTCATGTCTAGTTTTGGTGCTGTCACTCAGCATCATCCAGTGACCTCTCTGAAAAACAGTGAGGTTAATGCCAGAGCTGGACCCAAATGAGCAGAACTAACTGCTCTTTGAGGACCACTTGCAGGAAGGGTTAGCTAGGAGCCTGGACAGAGACAGGCAAGCTTGGAGCTGGGATGATTGCAAGCTGGATCAAAATAGAGATTCAGAAGCAAGGACGTAGGAAATCAAGTCTGAGACAAGGGATATCACGGTCACACAGGAATGCAAAGGTCACACTGGGAGTGCCAACTGAGGAGAGTGCAGAGGGGCAGCCAGTCATAGCCCAAACCTCACCAAAAGGTCAAACCTCAGGAATGCCCACAACAGATGATGGCCCAGAGCGCAACAATAAGCAGATTAAAGTGCTAAATGTGACCCACCCGCAGCCGGGATGGAGACGTCAGCCCAGATGGCAGGTACTTGGTAACGACTTGAGACTTAGGAATACTTTCTAGGCTAAAACCAGCACAAATTCTACCTTCCAGGAAGCGGCGGGGCCAGAGCCACCGGCTGCAACCACAGCAGCGGGCACCCTTGGGCCCTCGACAGACGAGGGCCTCAGGGCGGGAGAAGGCCGGGGCAAACCCTCTGTGACCGCCACACGGCCAACCCCGGCCCACCAGACATCTCCGCGAGACGCCGCGGGCTCGGACGGCAATCCTCGACGGGCAAACAAAACGAAGCGGCTCCGCGGCGGGGCCCAGGGAGGGCGCGGGATAGACCGTGAGGCGCGTGGTAGCCCCGCGTGCCAGGGGACGCGGGAAGGGGCAGTGGGACCCTCGCCCCGCCCCGGAGAGCGCGCCAGGCCTGCCCCCGCCCCGGGCCCCCCAATCACCGCCCGTCGCCGCCGCCCGGGCTTGGCGCCCCTCGCTGTCTATAGGACCGAAGCAAGCAGCTAAGCCTTCCCATTGGCCGCAGGGCTGCCCATCTCCCCACAGTCCCGCCCCCCTCGCTCCCCTCCTCCCAGGCGCCCGGGCGGTGCCAAGGACACCAGGGCGCGACCCCGGGCCCCCGGCCCAGCGCGGCCCCCGGCGCGACCCCCGCCCCGCTCCGGTGCCGGCCCCCGCCCCCAGCCGCCCTGCCATGCTGGGTCCGGCCCCACCATCCGGCCCTGCCGCGAAACCCACCGGCGTGTCCGTACACTCCGCTCGTAGCCCCGGCTCTGACAGCGGCCCCGACCACCAGTCCCGCCCCGCCCCGCCCCTTGCGTCACACGTCACGTTACCACGCCCCTTTATTCACGCCCGTTGATTCCGGCCTAATGCGGCTGCGCAGTCTGGCGTCAAACAGCGGGGCGGGGGCCGCGCAAGGCAAGGCACGGCACAGGCGGGGCCTGGGGCCTACTGTACGGTCCGGGGACCCCCACCATGGCCAGAGAATTCACACCACGGCCTGGAGACCCTTGGTATGGCCTGGGGACTCTCACCGTGGTCCGTGGCTCACAAACCTCATCATGGCTTGGTGACTCTCATCATGGCTTCAGGATCCCAGCCGTGGCCTGGGGACCTCTGCCATGGCCTAAGGACCTGAACTTTGTCGTGGAGGACCCCTTGCCCTGGGACACCTCAGGCTTTTGGGGATATCCCACCATGTGTGACAGCCAGCAGATGCCCAGCAGGGCACAGGAGGTGTTCTGGGAGCTCTGCATTTCTGGAAATTTCCTGACAGTGAGTCATATTGGTGCCAGTCTCGGCCACAGGAGCTGTGCAGGGCTGGATGGCACTTTCAGGAAGTGAAACAGGTGCCAGGAAAACACCCCAACAGCCCGAGTCCACGCAAGCCCAGCCACGCACATCCCCGGCCCTCCCAGCATGGTGCAATCTGGCGTGCTGGACGAACATGAGGATGAGGAGTGTCCCTAAAGGCCATGACTCTGAAGAACATGTCCCCAGGGTGGCATGAGCGGGCACAAGAAACAGAGCGGACAGCAAGGTCCTGCACCCATTGGTGTTAGGGCAGCGAGGACGAGAGGGGTGACAGGAGGCACAGCTGGCCATGGCACCAGGGGTCTGGGCAGTGCAAGAGGAAGCAATGGGAAATGGTGGAGTGGCAGCACTTGCATCACCAGACACTTCCAGGACACCCACAATCCCTGGCCCTGACAAGGGTGGGTGTCATCACAGCTGTGCTGGGGCTGGGATTGGGACTGGGGTCACAGCTGGCACTGAGTCTGCCTCCCTGCTGGGTGAACCAAATGGCAGCCTGACACATGGCACAGGCCCCACACATCAACCCCAAACATTGCCTCTGCTCTCTGCCCCACACGCCAGCCCTGGAGCATCCTTCTGCTCTGCCCCATACTCTGCTCCTGGAACATCCCCTGTCTGCTCCATGCTCTGCCTCCCCACTGCACTGCTTGGGGGCAACCAGCTCCCCCAGCCCTCCAGTCTCAACAGAGCAATTGGGTAAAACCAGGCATTGCGAAACCTGGAAATCCCACTCTGACGGCGCTTCCTTCTAGAGACTCTTGAAAACCAGCCACACTGACGCCGGGCTCAGAGAGCAGCCAAACAGCACTGCAGGCAGGACAGGCAGGAGCAGGCAGCCAAGTGCCTCAGAAGTTTGCAGGTATTGTGAAGTCTCTGCCCGCAGCTCTGCAGTCAGCAGCGGCAATGGCATTCGTCCCTGATTTGGACACACTGGAGAGCGGCAGGTAAGAACAGACATTCTGGAGAAGACTTTGGGGATGTGATACTGCATTCCTGACCCTGACTTCACCATCTCCCTTTGCCTTTCAGCCTGAATGAGGAGACACTGTATGGCCCCAACTGTCTCTGCCTGCAGAAGGTAATGCTGGGGCAGTGGGAGTGGTGAGGTCTATATCGTATGGAAGCCAGGCTCTCACCCTGCATCCCCTTTCTTCCCCAGAAGCCCCGACTGGACCTGGAGGTGACATCACCTGAGGTGGGCATCCAGGTGACAGTGACAAAAGGACACCTTTCCAGGACCTTCCGCCAGGCTGCCATCCTGGTGGTTGCTGTGACCAAGCTCCTAAAGCAGCCGTCGCACAAGGACTTCGCTGATAGTGACCTGGGCAGCTTCTTGGATGATATTTTTGGTACGAGGGTGATGTCAGGGGTGTCACCCCAGTCAGAGGATATTCTTGGGGGATACTCTTGGACCTGGGAGCAGCATCCTGCTGACTGTCTCACTCCCCACAGAGCCCATCTCCTTCCAGTGCATCAAGGGCAGTTATACCAGGCCACCCGTTTTCCGCTACACTCGTTCCCAGTCCTTTGACATCCTGGACATTGACCACAAGTGCTTCGTACTGGAGTCACCCACCCAGCTGGTGGCCCTGCACCTGCAGGGACCCTCTGCAGGACAGAAAGGTGAGAGCATGTGCTCCCATCCCAGTGTCCCTGTCCCTAAATCCAGGACCACCCAGGAGCCACCCCACAACCCCAGGATCACCCACTTACCTGTCCCTTCTCTCTGCAGTGAAGCTCAACATTGCTCTGTACCGTCCCCGGTCATCACAAGGCAGTCCAGGGTCTGGAAGGGCGCCGGTGGCATTGGGTATCAAGGGCTACCAACTCTATATGTCATGTGTGATGAGTGGCACCAAGCCCATGCTGCAGCTGGAGGTGAGCAGGGGGTCCCACCAGTCTGTCCTCTGTGCAACTGGGGGCTCCATTCCACCTTGACCCTGATTTCACCCCCCTGGCTATAGGAAGCTGACATCAGGAGGGATATTGAGAGTGTGGAGCTGACCCGATTCATCTTCTACCGCCTGGACAGCCCAGCTGAGGGGACCACCCGCTTTGAGTCGGCCGCCTTCCCCGGCTGGTTCATTTGCACTTCCCTGCAGCCCCGCCAGCCTGTAAGCATCACGAACACCCCAGACCAGGTGAACATTGCTACCTATGAGCTGAGTAGGCGCTGAGGATGCTGCATCAACCCAATCGGCAGTCACCGGTTTTCAGGCTGTATGTACCAAGTACAACCCCCTAGGACACAACCCCCATCCCCATCTATTTCATGTGAAATAGCAGCTCTGGGCCCCATGGGCTCGAGCCACCCCCGTCTGTATTTATTTATTGTGTCTGCCCATTGTTTTGGTACTTATTTATTGTGCCCCCTTATTTATTTTTGCTTTTAACTTGTATGTGAATGGAGGTGGAAATAAAAAGTTTTCTAGGACAGCATTCCTCAGCTCATTTCTCATGGGGGATGGAGTTATGGATGGGAAAATTCTTCTGCTTTGGCTGCTTTTTGGGTGAAAGCTCAGGGAGTGAGGGGCCACCCCACAGCCCAGGGACCATCCTGACTTATGCAGGACCCTCCACCACTCTGTCTCCATGCCTACACCATAGCTGGGAGGTGGCTGGGGCGGGCATCCCATGGTGGATCCCCAGCAGCCCCGGTATCTGCCTGGAACTGTCACTTCTGCCCCAGCTGCAGCCAGCACATGGCATGGTGGGCCACAGTGCAGCAGGACAATGAGTGATGTGGTGTGGCATTACAGGGTGTGGCACGACATCACGTAGCATGATGTGGTGTACCATATCATGCAATTTCACACCACACCATGCCTTATCATGTGGCACAGCATGGTGCAGCATAGCATGGTGTGCCGTGGCATCGCATGGTATTGCATGGCACGGCATGGCACAGCATGGCACGGCACGGCACACGGTGCAATGGCACGTCGTGACCGGGCTCAGTGTAGCATGACATGGCTTGTCACGGCGTGACAACGCCTGTCATCGCAGGCACCCACCCCTGCCCCGCCCCAGCGGCTGCGACCGCCGGAGGGGACGCGTTGTCACCGCCCCCTACCCCCCTCAGCCAATAACGGAGCCAAAGCCGGCGTTTGGCTCTCTCCATTGGTCGATTTGAAGAAGGGGGTGGCAAATGAGGACGGCGCGGCGGTTGTTGGGAGTGCCGGTGGTCGTGCTGCGGAAGCGTCTGAGATGGAGGGGGCCGGTGAGGGGTTGGGAGCCTCGGAGCTTGGTCTGAGGGGTTCCCGGCTGGGGAACCTGGGGGCGTGGGCGGCCCGGGGGCCTGTGGGGGGCGTGTGGTGTGGGTGAGGGTGTGTGAACCTGCGGGAGGTGCCCACAAAACGGACCCAGGGACGCGCTTTGGGAGAAGGCAGTGTGGGAGGAGCGGGGATGCGTTGGGGGATCTTGCTGCTCTTGAGGCTCCGTGGAAGCCTTGGGAAGTAGAGGGCGGCGGAGCTTGACGTGTCCCTAAAGCTCAGCGTGAGATGTGGGTGATCGGGTGAGACTGGGAGAGTGTTAGGACCGGGGCCCTGGGGATGGGATGATGCTGGTCTCTGGCTGTGAGATGCCCTAGTGCTGTAGCCAAACTGGAGGTGTCAGAAGTATTCTCTGTACTGTTGAGACACTCCTTGCTTTTCCCTCTTGTGTTTTAGAAGAGGGCTTGGCTGCTAGTGAATGCAGGCCTGCAGCATAGACAGCTGAAGCTGAATCATGGACAGCATCTCCCCTTTCCTTCTGCAAACTGAGCTGTGCACAGTTGAGGTGTTGAGTGGCATCACACTGTGAGGGTCAGGGAGCTTAAGTGTCAGTGAGCTTCTAGGCAATATCATGTGCATGGGAGTTTCTGGGAACAGCATTGCCAGGCTCCCCGGGCAGGGAGCTCCAGAGGTGTGCCATAGAGTGTTTGAGAGTAACAAGAAATCTGTTGTTGTGGGTACTCATTTTTTGAGTACCGAGACCATGCTGTGCGCACTGTATTTACTGTCATCTCTCTGCAGTGCAACGGAGGAGCCGGCTGCAGAACTGCCAAGCAGCCAAGGAAAGGCTGAAATGCCTAAGCACAAAGTAAGTTAGGACGATGTTGGGCTTGAATGAGATGATATGTAAAGGTCTGAGGTATAGCTGACTCTCCCCACTGCCCAGTGTCTACCTTCTCCAATCTGTGTACAAAGAACCAGCTCCTGCCAGGGCCTCTAGGGCCTGTCTAGGCTCTGCCCCCACAGCACCCTGGCACCAGTCTATAGTTACTGGCAGCAGGCACAAATTCCCAATAGCTCATGGTGTCTCTTCTGCATATTTTATGGGATTCTGTGAAACTTTCTCATCTCAACTCCTGACTCTGGCAGAACAAGCCTTGCTGTTAAAGATTCAGATTTCGAACCAGATCTCAAGGAAAGGATAATGGGAGTCTCACCACTGGTTTTTAATGGCAGCTTCCAGTGGCCTTTGGAATATGTTAATATCAGGAAGGGGCGTTTTCTGTACATCTGGCAGGAAAATGTGAAGAGGAGTAGCAGGATCAAAGAGCAAACCATTCCCTGTCCCCAGGCTCTGGGAAACAGCACTAATATAATAGGAATGAGAGAAGATTCATGACCTTTCTTTTTGGCATAGTGCAGCACTTAGGCAGAACAGAGGATGGTCCCCTCACTCTCTAGGCTCTTTCTTACAGAAAAAAAAAAACTTATGGAGGCATTAATCCTCGCAGAGGACTGAGCTGCTACCCTGGAGCAGAGGGATGGGAGAACTCCACAGCTGGCTGCTGTCAGAGGGCTCCAGTTTTGTGCAGAGGAGGAAGGGAGGACAGAACTATGGGAGCTGACAGTGGCCTGCTGTCCCACCTTCCTGCTTATCTGCAGTGCCTGGACAGCTGCAGGGCTTGTGGATCAGCCACACTGCAATGAACTCTGGTGAAGACTCTCTGAGGCACCACTATAGTCTGCAGCATGACCTCAGCTGTCTGTGACACACAGGGCAGTTTGGGAGCCTCGAGCCCTGCTACCTGCCAGACCACTGCCTGCAGGAATAATTTTGATTAGTTTTGTTGTCCATGGAAGTTTTGTGACAACCTTGGATGTTAGTGGCTTGTGTTGCTTTTCTGTTGCCACACAAAAGAGAAAGAATTAATAGGATGTGGTGGTGCTCCTTGAAAGGTTTTGATTTCTGAAAGCTACTCCTAAGCTCCTGTGTCTGAGACAACCAGCAGTGGGTTAGATATTTAACTCTTTCTGCCTTTCTTATGGGTGATAAATAACCTGATAAATTGTTGGACTTTTACAGACCCTTTTTAAAGGACTGGACTAATCACCTGAATCCACCCTTAGAACCAGTTTCTAAACTCAATCATGTAAGTAGGAAGGTTTTGAGTCTTTCATGCTTTAAGTGAGCTGTCGCTGTTGGACATGAAATGAGTCACATGGATGCAGCTCAAGGTGTGGTGAAAGGAAGAACACTTCTCTCAGTATTTATAAGTTTCTGACCATGGCCAGGGATTGGATAGTCAGGTTAACACCTTCCCAACGACACTGGCCGTGAGAGATGTCCATCAAAAGACGTGTATCAGAAAGAATGTACACATATCTATGTTTACAGTCACTGTCCTGGGAAAGTTTTTAGAAACTATGTCAACAAGATCGAAAAACTGAGATTTCAGGGTGACAGTGAGCCTTGGCAGAACACAGTCCCCTGTCATGAATGAGTGTATTATGGTTGCTTAAAGAATCACTGGCAAAGATATCAGCAAAAGCAGTTTTAATATAGAAGTGAAAGCACAACAAAGTTCATTGTCAAGGTTCACTCGACTACTTACTGGATGGTTAAAGCACATAGAGAAAAAGCAAGCTAAAATCAATCAATCTAAAACCGAAACCAGTGCAAAAGTTATCTATGTGGGGGCTGGGGGAATCAGGGAAGAGTAAGGATAAAAAGGAACAAGGAAGGTCCATTGAGTCACAAGATTCAGAGCAGAGACTGCCTTGCTAATCTGAGCACTGGGCTTGACCAACAGTTTAGGCCTGAAAGTTTTAACAGCACTCAAACTTAACAGCATTTAATTAATAGCTTCAGTTAAATATTTTAACAAAGGATTAATCTAGAATTTACTGTAGCACAAAAATAACTTGCTTACAGGCCTGACTTAAAAATCTAAAGTACTTAAGAACCAAGGAAAGCCACATTCATAGAACATTTGCTCTACCATACTTACACACACATAGACCTAAAGCGTTTGTACAAGATATATCTGTGAAAAGTTCTCAAATTCAGTGAAGGACTCATGTTGATGCCTTTGTATCTTCTCAACAGGAAAAGGGTTGAGCCTTGGGGAAAGGGGGTATCGGCCCTGTCTCTGTTGACATGTTGCTGTTCCCCCAAGTACAGCAAACATGAAAGTTTTCTAGCTCTGAGAATCCCCACTTGGAGGGAGATGCTGGTCACAGCCCACACAGTCCAAGAGAGCTCAAAAGGTCTCACTCAGGATTGCTGCTTATAGTGTCACAAGCGAATGTACTTTAGTCATCATAATTTTTCATCCTGGCTTCAATTCAAGTCTGTAACTTGCTTTGAAAACCACAACCCCAAGTCAGGTCATGAGTTCTTGACTCCAAATGGGGGACATACCACAGATTGCTAAATAGCTGGCAATGAGTCAACTAGCTATTTTTCAAAGGAGTTTAGCTTAGGAGTTTCAGTTTGGGAGACTGATCCTTTGCCCGTGTCCTGGTGGGTATTGTGTTATTGTTCTGTTGACAGCTGCTTTGTCACATGACTGTCCCCTGGGCCAGCTGTCAGGGTCTGATGAAGCTGCGCTCTCCTTGGAGCTGAGGGCTGCTTTGTCTTTCCAGGTTGACAGGAACAAGAAGGATGTTCTTGGGAATGTGATGGAGGGTGCTCAAGAGAATGGCAAACTTGGAGCCAAATCCACACAGCACACTGGCCACATTGCTCAGAAGAAGCCTTCAAATACATCCCAGAGAGCAGGAGGGGTGCGTCCAGCGCAGCCAGGGAACACCATGACACTTCCTGCTTCTGCACAGACTAGAGGCAGGCTCCCACCTTCAAGCTCTGGTCACCTAAATCCAAAAAGGAACCAGAAGTCTACACAGGAGACTGTCCCTGCAGCAGCGCCTCAGGTGGAAAGTGACCACCCTCCTCCTGGAGCACC